GCGCCCTGGTAGGTCCTACTTCCTCTCTTTCCCTCTGTTGTTTCTGTCTGTCTTGCTTCTTCCGTGTACTACATGGCTGTTTTTGTGTCGATGTGCTTCTTTTAACTCAAACTCAAACTTTCTTTGCTATATTATTTCCCAGTCGCATCTACAGGCGAGATACTATTTGGGACAAGCTGATTTTCCAAAAGATCCAGCAGCGACTCGGAGGGCGAGTACGGATCGTTCTGTCGGGATCAGCACCTCTGTCTGAGGATGTCATGAACTTCTTGCGCTGTGCTCTGGGCTGTTTCGTAAGTAAACAACGTTAGAAATAAAGTTTGGTTGATTTTGGGGACATGGGAATAGCGACTGTTTTTTTTTTTTACCTCTGTTGTTCACCAAACATAGGTTTGTCTAACATAGGAGTTGGGAGCAGCTTCTGAGTAGAGACATTAAAACATTTACTTTTTAAGATAATTGATACCAATTCTTCATAAGTATTTTCCCTTTGCGTTCCTCTATAGCTCTAAATAGTTGAGCAAAGGCACTCAGAATGAAGCAGAAATCGAAACAGTCACTCACAAACGTCAGAGTGAAGAGTGTTGTGGCTCATTATTATCAACGGATTTTTTTCACATGTATAACTTTTTAAAGGGTTTCAACTGCAATGACAAGACATGTTCAGGAATCTAGTTTTTGTTGGTGACAACAAAACAAGGGAAATATTCTACGTCAATACAGACACTCTTACTCACGTTAACGATAAGAATTCATAGAAAAACCCCCAACCCAGCTTGCAATTGCTATGCCGGAAATGCTCGCTATTCCTGTGTTGGGTTTTACGCAAGCTTACTATTCTAGTGCGCTGCGAGGTGGTTGGAGGACGCCACTGGTAGCTCCTGCTTCTTTACTTGGTCTCTCTGTCTTACACTTTCCCATAGCTGAGTGGTAGTTATCGTGTTCTTGTGCTTCTCTTTACTCAAACTCAAGAATAACAGAAAAGCAAGATCTCGATAGATTACCTCTTTTATTTGTACAAGTAGGTTCGATATTTAGAATACAATGCTGTGTATCTAGAAATCACCTGTTTGTGGCAAGGAGAAATATTAATTCATTTAAAGTCGACCAAACAATAGTTTAAACATTCATAAACTTTCAGGTGGTCGAGGGATACGGGCAGACAGAGGTGTGTGCTGCGGCCACGATGAACTTCCCGGGTGACGCAAGTATAGGTGGGTGTGCTCACTGCTATGTCATTCAACAAAACAGTCTGTTTTGTACAATCGTAACTTGTGTAGCAGTAAGAATAAGATGTAGAGTGACATAGTAATATACAGGGGATAATAATGTGTCTGTATTTAAGTGTTTCTGATTCTCCACAATGGTTTGTTTTTTTTTCTTTTAGGTCTCCGTCTGTGTCTTTTATATTATAATAGTACCGCACTATTGGCATTCTTGTTTCGTTTTTTAAAACCTTTAAAAAAAATTTCGGAGCTTTCGTAGTGCTTTAGGTTGATGGTGAGGATGGTCGACGAAGAAGAAGAGGAAGATAAACAGCATGAGTTGTGTTGTCATAGTTTGCAGATCTTTAGGCTTTCGTAATAACATTCTTTGGAGAAAAATGAAATGGTGTCGTTTTGAATACGAGATGCAAAACAAGGGAGACAACAACAGAAATCTACATTGAATGGAGTAAGCTGGCTAATGTTCCTTGTGACAAATTTATTGCTTTCTTTTCTACGTAATGTCTTAGTTGTCGTATTGTTTGTCGGTTCCTGCTGTATATTCGTTTTTGTTATGTTGCCTAGTCTCTGCTTATTTGAATTTCGGAGTCATGCTTGTTTGTAGTCACATCTGATTAGAACTAAAAAATAAAACAACGACAAAAGCATCTCCAACACCAGCAGTACCAGTAGTTACAAATGTAACAAAACATGATAAAAAGAACAACAACACCCCC